TAAAGAACCCCTGAAGAACCATCTTTTTAAGTATGTACTTTTTTTCAACACTCTATAAAAGCACCTTTTTAAAAAGGGTTCTACAAAGCACCAAAAAGGGTTCTGCTATAGTTACGATGTCAAGCTTGTAACAATAGAAGAACCCTGTTAGTGATAAATAGGACACTTTTGAAAAAGGTGCCATATAGAACCCCTGAAGAACCATCTTTTTAAGAGTGTGCTTTGTGTCCACACTCATTGTCCATTGCATCAGGTCCAGTGAGGGCATTTTCCATATCGTCGCTGTCAAAAAAAAATAAAACAATTATTTCCATTTTTGCAATTTTTAGTTTTCTATATAATTTCAGCTCAACAGCTGCCCTTCACATTCCGAGTGGACAAATAGAAGTGCTTTCTGGAATGATATTAAAAGTTCAGAATGTTTCTCCCTTCTTCTGTAAAGTTCTCATCTTTGGACAGCAACATTTTTTTAGAACAATAATGAGGATTTCATAACACTACATAATAGAACATATCGCTGCTGTCGGAACAAAACCTCATATCTCCATTTTTGTCGTTTTTCAGTTTTTGACATAATTTAAAATACCTGTTGCCCTTTACATTGTGTGTAAATTTCATGATGAATGGACCAAAAGAAACGGCCTAAAATGACTTGGAAAAACGTCTGGTTCCATTGACTTACATTAAAAGTAAAGTAGGTTTTTTCTTTCTCCTGAAAAGTTACCATCAACTTCAAAATTATTGCACTTTCAGCTCCCAGACACTCCAGAGTAACAATGTCTGAAAAGATAACTACAACTGCACTTGTTTTCAAGAAAATGTAAGAAGTGTTCGTAAATTTTGGATCAGAAATGACCCAAATTCATAAAGATATCAAATTTCTGTTAGCATTTACATGTCGAACAATGGCATAACTGAGTAGCCCAGGGTCGTCTGAAAATAACAACATATGGCATGTGTAACTCCATTTTTGTTGTATTTCAGTTTTTGACATAATTTGAAAATGCCTGTTGTCCTTTACATTGTTTGTAAATTTCACGATCAATGGACCAAAATAAATGACCCAAAATTACTTGGAAAAAAGTCTGGTTCCATTGACTTACATTAAAAGTAAAGCAGTTTTTTTCCTTCTCCTGTAAAGTTACGATTTTGAAGATACAAGGTTTTGTTCTGACAGCAGCAATATAAAATTATGTAGTGACCAAAAGTGTTAAGCAAATCAAACTTCTATTTCAGATCCTTCAGTGATCTGGTTCACATTAAAAAGATAAGTCATGGGCTTCACTACAGACGTCAAGCCTAAACTATCAGATTAAAATGTCTTTATAAACATGCATTCAATCGGTTGGGTCCACCCTGTCGACTAGGCTATGATAAAACATTCACTCATAACTTCATGTTTGTTTGCATGAAAAAAATAAGAAAACGATGATTTTGTTGCTTTGTAAAAGCTTGACCATGGTGGAGGTCAGCACCCTGGACAGTTCCTAGACTCACTGCCCAAACATCCACTGGACATCACTGTGTCTGTATCATCATTGCGAGACTGTAGTGCTGGCCACAGCACTGAACTTCATCATGACACACCTGATTCAACTCATCAGCTCATCACTGATCTCTTCCTGTAAAGCTCAGTTTAGGTCGTAATAATGGCTCTCAGAATGTGCATATTAGTTTCATAGAGGATAATTCATAATAGACACTGAATTCATAATACATTACTGAATGATTTGTAGTTCACCAAATAATTCATTAATTATAAATAGTACAGAATAATTATAGCTTATAGAATAAATAATAAAGTGACTGAATAGTTTAGATTAGAAATTGAATAATTTATGGCACTTAATAATTCATTATAGTTATAGAATTCTTCAGAGTACTTACCGCATAATTCATTGTAGATGCTAATTAATTCATAGTAGATACTGAATAATTCATAGTAGATACTGAATAATTCATAGTAGTTACTGAATAATTCATAGTAGATACCGAATGCTTCATAGTAGATACTGAATATTTTGTAGTAGATACTGAATAATTCATGGTAGTTACTGAATAATTCATAGTAGATACTGAATAATTCATAGTAGATACTGAATGCTTTGTAGTAGATATTGAATAATCTGTAGTGGATACTGAATAATTCATAGTAGACACTGAATAATTCATAGTAGATACTGAATGCTTCATAGTAGATACTGAATATTTTGTAGTAGGTACTGAATAATTCATGGTAGTTACTGAATAATTCATAGTAGATACTGAATAATTCATAGTAGTTACTGAATAATTCATAGTAGATACTGAATGCTTTGTAGTAGATATTGAATAATCTGTAGTGGATACTGAATAATTCATAGTAGACACTGAATAATTCATAGTAGACACTGAATAATTCATAGTAGATACTGAATGCTTCATAGTAGATACTGAATATTTTGTAGTAGATACTGAATGATTCATGGTAGTTACTGAATAATTCATAGTAGTTACTGAATAATTCATGGTAGTTACTGAATAATTCATAGTAGTTACTGAATAATTCATAGTAGATACTGAATGCTTCATAGTAGATACTGAATAATTCATAGTAGTTACTGAATAATTCATAGTAGACACTGAATAATTCATAGTAGATACTGAATAATTCATAGTAGATACTGAATAATTCATAGTAGTTACTGAATAATTCATAGTAGACACTGAATAATTCATGGTAGTTACTGAATGAGTCAAAGTAGATACTGAACAATAGTGGCTACTAAATAATTTATAGTAGACAGTGAATAATTCATAGTAGGTTCCTTGCATGGTGAAATGGTTCTTCAGATTAATGGAGAATGTGTTATATGTGGTCCTATCTAGAACCTTTTTGAAAATGATTTTGTATATCATCAAAAAGGGTTCCTCTATTGTTACAGGTTTGACATCATAATAGCAGCATCAAGAGAATCAAGTTAACACAGATTAACTCCATCAAACACAGATATGTAGCTGTTAATCACCTTTGAGGCCATGATGATGTTTGATGGTGTAGTTGACGGTACCAAAGACAGAATATGGCTTCCACAGACCAAATAATCACATGATTCGAGCACTTTATATGCTTTTACCTCCTGCTGATGCAGTATTTAGGGTAAGTTTTGTCGTCTGGATATGTAAAGGTATTGATCCACACACCTGATCAAACTTGGTGCATTCCAATCGCCTTCACACTTGCCTGCAAAGTGCACCACACAGGGTACTCAGACGGTTTAAGGGTGATTACAAACCACAGGATATGAAAAAGTTCAGTTGGAAGGGAACTTCAAACCGCAGAGGGAGTAGCGAACAACGGATTATCACTTCACAGGAACCTGCATGAAGGTTTACCCATCAGTCATCACATGTCTTTTGAAGATGAGCGTTTGATTATGATGCTGTAAGGACGTTCCAAATGAACTGCAGTTCCCTTAACCGACATCCAGTGCTCAAGTGTGTAGGGAACATAACGTTACTGATTATGGATCCTGTGGAATGGGAATGGGAGGCAGCTGCTGGCTTTTTCTTGATATTCATTTGGAAGCCATAGCCGGCACTGACTGCTCGTACACATTATCCTGACTGAATATCAGCTATATGGATGCTTTTTTCCAGTTTTTGCTAATATAGCAGGGGCATCAACTCAACCACTAAGAGGGCCATATTAAAAAATCTCAACAAATCTGTGGGCCTACGTTTTAACATTTTTAATTAACATGTTGCTGTAAAACTGACCAATGTTTGTTCAAAATACACTTCAACAGTAAAATACAGGCACTTGTAGCACTTTAAATATTACATGAATACATTAAATATTCAAAATTTAAGTGTCCCCAGGAGCTTAAACCTACCTATTTGCCTGAACTACAGACCTGCCATCCTTTCTTTGCTGCAAGTTCATTAAGACTTGGGCTCAATTTCTGAGCTGCTGATCTGATGTTAGGGCTTATATTGGCTTAAATGCAGTTAGTGTGTTTGGTGATACGACAGGTGTGGAACTGTGCAGAACTGTGTAGAATTAAGGTGTAACCACGGTCCTATAGACTGTTGCTGGGGTAGGAGAGTCAGGGCGTACATTACGTTGCAGTGCATGCTGGGGACTGTAGTGCAGAGCTAATATTAATAGAAAATTAAAATGCTTTTGCAGGCCGGACAGGATTGGGCCTAATCAGGCCCGCGGGCCTTGTGTTTGACACATGGGGTCTATAGCGATGGTTAAAATTTTCATTTAGGGTGGAGTGTCCCTTTAAATCAGAAACTACTGTTCACAGAATATGGATGTGGAAAAGATGCTGTTGACAATACACCCCTTTCAGGCAGTGATATGTTGTGTGTGTTGAGGAGGATGTGTTTTTGTACCGTAGTTGCAGCGGTTTACCAAAAATAAATAAGGATATGAGATTAAATAACACCTGTAAAGTCATTTTTCAGAGGCATAACGTGAATAATGTTGGGTTTAAAACCAAAATTCATGCTGATTAATAATAGCAGTCTTTGGTTTTACCCATTTTACTAATATCGACTCTCTGATGAGGTTAATCTGGATAAAACAGCACTGAAAAACTGAGTAATACCTTCAGTGACCCTGTAGGTCAGAGACGTATTTCACTCCAACAGCCATAAAATCCCCACACAGCTAAAGATACAATGCGCTTGTGTTGAAATAGATGTGCTGCAGTAAATTAGCCTGTTGTTTATTGAGAGCAACTGCAATATAACCCCATTATAAACCTTATAAAACACAAACACAGCTCAGTCCTGCTGCCGAGGTTCTCCTGTTCAGTGAGAATATTTGTCACGTCCTGCGACTTAGAGACAATTATCAGGTCCACATTTTGAGGAAGCATTTTTCTTTATTTAAAAAAGCAAAAGAACTGCCACTCTCTTTTTCTTCCAGAGTTTAAGTAAAGTCTTTATTGTCTATTGTAATACATTGGTATGAGATTGGTGGAAGGTAGTTATAGCAGGTTTTTCGTTTAATGCTGGATTCTGCGGATAGACTGGATCTGGTTGGTGTGGGCCTGGGTGCTGAACTCGTTATAGTTTCTGAACTCTCCTTGGCGTCTGTCTCTCTCCAGGATGTACTGGTATCCACGGTACCCAGGGAACTGGTAGGCCACCCAGCTACAGAGAGGAAAAGACAGAGAGAGAGAGAGAGAGAGAGAGAGAGAGAAAGCATGAATCAATATCCAATATTGCATTTCTATTCAATAACTTGCAGCAAGTAAGCTGCATTAAAACTTACCAAATACAGCCGATGTACATTTATGCATGTTATGCAATAATAATAATTAATATTTACATTATTATTGTTATTATTAACAATCATAACAATATTTTATTCACATTTAGTATCACTTCACAGTGGCGACATACATAATAACAATAAAATAAAACCAGTAAACAAAAACACACAAAGACAGTGTGGGCAGGAGTGAGAATATACTCCTTTTGGCCAAGCTTTTTCTGAAACAGACACAATAATTCATGTTTTCGTTCAGTGTAATGAGGCACTGTACTGAGAAAAGCAGAGGTCAGATGCCTTTTGTTAAAACAACAAAAAGAGACGGCCAGAAAAAACTCGCTTTGTTCAAAAGGTAAACACTCATCAGCATTCAGACGGCATCTGCAGAGCTGACGGAGGGTCAGGCTGAGCAGGTGTGAGTTTGCACGTGTGTGTGTGTGGGTTTGTGAGTGAGGGGGCGTGGCTTACGCTCCAGAGTTGACTTTGATTGATGGCACCTCCTTGCTGCACCAGCCCATGGCCTGCAGGGAGGGGTAGTCGTCACACATCTCGAACTTACGGCCCTGGAAGTCTTCGCACTCGTACAGCGTCACCTTACTGTCACTGTGGTTCTGCAGGAGAGAGAGAGAGAGAGAGAGAGAGAGAGAGAGAGAGAGAGAGAGAGAGAGGTTAAAGGTTACTCGAACCATCCAAAAATAATTTTTAAATAAAAACTACTTGTTTTATGTAAAACAATAGACCACATTAACTACAGATCACTGTTAAACCTCTTTAAATGTCTTTTGCCCCACTGGTGACATCCTGTATAAACAAAAATAACACATGGCCACGACTTAGTAAGGCATGGGAACAAGATGATTAAGTCATGGCCATGCCTTAGTAAGGCATGGGAATGAGATCCTAATGCGTGGCCATGACTAAGTAAGGCACGAAATATTAATGCATGGTCACTCTCGTTCTCATGCCTTACTAAGTCATGGCCATGACATAATTATCTTATTCCCACGCCTTACTAAGTCATGGCCATGACGTAATTATCTAATATGCCTTATATGCCTTACTAAGTTATGGCCATGCATTAGGATCTCATTTCCACATGTTAATAAGGCATGGCCATGACTTAATTATCTTGTTCCAATGCCTTACTAAGTCATGGCCATGACGTAATTATCTTATTCCCACGCCTTACTAAGTCATGGCCATGACATAATTATCTAATATGCCTAATATGCCTTAGTAATATGCCTTACTAAGTCATGGCCATGCATTAGGATCTCATTGCCACATGTTAATAAGGCATGGCCATGACTTAATTATCTTGTTCCAATGCCTTACTAAGTCATGGCCATACCTAATTATTTCATTCGCACAGCTTACTAAGTCGTGGCCATGCATTATTTTTATTTATATGGGATGTCACCAGCAAGGCTCTGTATAAACCTGCCTATTTGCTTAAACGACCCGTCCAGCACATTATGTTAAAGTGCATGCTGGGGATTGTAGTGCAGCAGGCCTGACTCAGCCTGCCGGCCTTGTGTTCGACACATGGGCTCTTAAACATGAACAGAGAGAATTTCATTATACGTAATAATGTATGTTACATTCTGTTCACTCATAATTGAATGCTAAAATTTCAAAAGCAGGCAGGCTACTAACATTTATAACACAAAAAACAGTCCTTTAAGTTCTAGATATTAACCAGGTAAGTGTGTGGTACAAGCTCCAAAAGTGCTAGACAATTATTTTGAGTAAAATGATGGAATCTCATTAAACTACACAGAAACAGGTTCTCTGTATTAACTGAGTAAACATTAGGAAATCATTCTGAAGCAGTCCAATTAAATTACACTGAAATGCCAAGCAGGTTCTAGATATTAACTGGGTTAGTGTGTGGTACAAACTCCACAGTACTGTGTAGTTATTTAGGTAGTTATATGGTGCACACAAATAAAGTAAAGAGTCTTATACAGTATGGATATGTTTATTATCTATACACTAAACTGAATCTGGGCTGTGAAAGAAAAGCTTCTTACTGTGGTTCTACTAGGTTCTTACCATTCACTTCACAAGACAATATTCGCACTGTGTGCTGTTATTTTACTCCATATATCTTACCTGCTTATTGGAGGATTTTTGGATTTGCTTTCCTGTTTAAACATGTGACTTACGGTGAAGTTTAGTGTTTGTACTGCATTGTTACTCCAAATATTTACGAGATATTTCACTATGTTCTGTATCAGCTCAGTAGCAGTAGAAGCTGTTAGTCATTTCAGTGTAATGTAGTTTGACTACTCTGGGTACTTACCTGAATTTAACACAAAATAATTATCTAGTACTTTGGAGTGGTTTCATGGTTAACACTAGAACTTAAGGCACTATAAAAAGGAAGCAATTCCATATATGTTTCTATATTGTGTGGAGTGCATTCAGATTGAATGATGTGTATTCGCTGTGTATTGGATTGATGTAGTGTATACTTGGCCTGTATGAGGTGTATTTAGTATTTGTATATGGTACAGTACAGTCTAGTGTTATGGTGGCGTATATAGTACAGTCCAGTGTATACAGTAGTGTATATATAGTACAGTACAATCTAGTTTGCACGGTGGTGTATATACAGTACAGTACAGTCTATTGTGTATAATGGTGTGTATATGTAGCACAGTACAGTCTAGTGTGTATGGTGGTGTATATAGTACAGTCCAGAGTGTACAGTGGTATATATATATAGTACAGTATAGTCTAGTGTGTGTGTTGGTATATATATATATAGTACAGTATAGTCCAGTTTGTACAGTGGTGTATATATAAGTGCAGTACAGTCCAGTGTGTATGTTCGTGTATATAGCAGAGTACAGTCCAGTGTGTGTGATGTTATTGGACTTACAGCACACTTGATGGGCCTGAAGGACAGTAGGTGCTCTGTTCTGTAGCTGCTGTTTCCACTCCAGGCCTGATAGCAGGGGTAATCTCCCTTCTCCAAAACAAACTGCTGTCCCTGGAACTCAGGGTACTCATAACCAACCCAACTGATACAGAGAGAGAGAGAGAGAGAGAGAGAGAGAGTTAGCACACTTATGATGGCTGACAGTGAATTTGACCTCAATAGCACACTTAAGTAAAACGTCTATGCAGCCATAAATACAGAATCGTCGCTGTCATAAAAACATTGTATCTCCAAGATGATAAGAGAAGAGGGACAAAATGAAGAACTGGTATTAATCATTCTGTAACACTGATATTGATTGTTGGTGTGAAGCCCACTTGCAACAACATATACTATGGGGAAAAATAAAAAAGTCGTGTTTATTGCATTTTGGAAACAAAGTCCACAAAGTATTCCCAATTTTAATGTTAATGTAAGAAGACAAAAAAAAAATTCCAGGTAATTTTGGACTCATCATGAAATGTTATATATATATATATATATATATATATATATATATATATATATATATATATATATATATATATATATATATACAATGGCTGCATACAGTCGCTGTTGGATAAGAACTTTGTATCGCCAAAATGGTAAATTTACAGGAGAAGGAAAAAAAATTTATTAGAAATTAGTGTAAACAATTTTATTCAAAGTACTTTTGAATTATTTATATCAATTATCAAATTATTTCAAAAATTAAAAAACAAAAAAATGGAGATAGTAGTACTGTATAATAGTCTAATGGCGACAACATACATGTGTGAAATAGAGTAAGCATTTCTTTTGATACTTTGTGAAAGAGAGCAACACAGAGAGAGAGAGAGAGAGAGAGGGAGAGAGAGAGAGCGAGGGAGGTGAATGTGATACTCGACACAAAGGCGTGCGTCCTTACATGGCTTTAGTGAAAGCTTTGCTGATCAGCACACAAATGAAAAGCAAACATCACATGGTGTGAGGCGGCTGAATGGACCTGCACTCTTCCGTTATCAGCTTATCAGCGCGTGTGTGTGTGTGTGTGTGTGTGTTCTGTAGTAAAGCAGCTGCCGGCCTCTCTGACACACACAAGCACTATCGCTGCACTCTCATTAGCACTCACTATCACTCACTATACACGGCAGGGTTTTCTAATTATTACTGCTAATCATCTCCACCCCTCTGTTTTCTTCTACAGAGAGAGAGAATATATTCTATCTTCATTAAAAGATTAGAAAGACCTACTTAGAAATTCCAAATTCACAATCAACACACATTCAGTCCACATTGTTTTCTAATAACTGATATGTTTCACTTACAATTCATGGTTTCACAAGTTACTTTTCCTATTTACATTTTTAAAAATCTGTATTATTTTGTAATCGTAATTAAATGGAAATTAAATGTAGGTCTACTTCAAAAAACTTTGTGTGAATATGTCATAAAATGTGGACAGTGTTGCATCACACAGAACACAGAACGATTTATAAACACAATTTTCAACACCAAACATACTCACACACATCCATGTGACAGCATCTTATCCACTTTGGCTGGATATATTATAGCATATTTACAAAATGGGTATTTTTCATAAAACATGATCAGAGGCCTCTTGAACCTCAAGCTCATTCATCTTAAGGCTCATTACTCAGTGCTGTCTTCTCTAAACAATTCAGAATTAACTATGAATCACTATGTAAATGCTAAGAATGCTAAGCGGTTCATGTATATCACAATAAAGGCCCTTAGGCCAGAGTGATGGTCACTTACGGGCCGTTCTCCACCTTGATAGAGCGGATCTTTCTGAAGTCTCTGTCCAGAATGTTCTGGCACTCCATGGTAAACTCGCAGCTTTTACCCTGGAAGTATTCCTCCTCAAAGACAGTGATCCTCCACTGGCACTGTCCCCTCTGCTCCATCTCCTGCTGCGGGTTCATGGCTGCCGTCCTTCACTGAGCTTCCTGCGACAGAGAGAAAGAGCATCACCACATAAGCTATCAGAGACTCTTCATCCAGCCGAGTAACAGGTAGCTAGCTAGCTAGTTAGCCAGATAGATAGATAGATAGATAGATAGATAGATAGATAGTCAGCTAATTGGCTAGCTCAATCAGTTGAAAAAACACCATACACCAGCACCCATTTCATGCTGGTCTAAGCTGGTTTATACTGGACTGGTGCTGGTTTAGCTGGTCACCCAGAATGGTCATGCTGGTTGACCAGCATAGCAGCATCCAAAACACGTCATATACTGGTTTTGCTGGTGACCAGCCATGCTGCTCTGTGCTGGTTTTTCTACCAGGGTAGTCAGTTGTAGCTAGACCAGTACGCATTCCATGCTGGTCTAAGCTGGTTTCTGCTGGTTTGGTGATGGTTTACCTGGTCACCTAGAATGGTCCTACTGGTTGACCAGCATACCAGCATCCAAAATACAACATGTGTTGGATTTGCAGGTCCATGCTGGTTTTTCTACCAGGGTAGTCAGTTATAGCTAGCTATAGCTGTAGATAGATAGATAGACAGACAGACAGACAGACAGACAGATAGATAGATAGAGAGATAACATACATTACGCACACTTACACACACTCAGTGCAAAAATTTGACATATAATGCAGAGGACAAGACTTTCATGACCTTCAAGGACAAAAACATTCACATGTAGAGGTGTAACATGTAAACAACACTCAGACTAAAGCAGAGAACAGTGTTGCCGGTGTCGACCAAGCCTCAGTGTTCTGGTGGACGGCGGTGTGGATACTCACGCACTGATGTGGGACAGATCCGGTATAATGAATGCGGCGGCCCAGCCGTGGCCCGGCTGTTTTTATAGCAGGCATGCCCTCTCGCTCAGCGCAGGGCGAGGCACGAGGGTGCACACTCAGCAGCCGCTCACAGAAAGACTGCATTAGCCGTGGCCATTGTGGGGCTCGGAGCGGCCCTTTGTCCAGCACTCAGACCCACTGACTCATCAAAAACACGGCCATAATGGCACCAAACCCACCGCACGCTATGATTGGACGGAGCAGAGAATAGCAGAATTGTGGGAGATTAGGCCGGGTGGCGTGGGGGGTAGCAGTACCCCAAATGAGTCTTTTTGCCCTCGATCACAATCCTTTAATATTGATTATACTGAACAGATACTGAATCTCTGTACTCCTAAAAAGATGGTTCTTCAAGGGTTCTTTAGTAAAGAAAATGGTTCTATATAGAACATTAAACACTCAAAGAACCCTTTACACGATCAAACGGTTCTTTGCATCATGAAAGGTTCTTCAGATTGATGGAGAATGTGTTACATATGGTCCTATATTGAACCTTTGTGAAAAGGGTTCTATACAGCACAAAGGAGTTTGACTTTGTAACAATAGCAGAACCCTTTTGGTGCTGTATAGAACCATCTACAGCATATTCTCCATCAGTCACTAAGGACTGATCATGCTGGAAACCCTTCATTCTTCATTCGGTCCACATCGGAGACACATCCCTGATAACAAGAGGTCAGTGGGCCACTGTTGGCCCACTAATGACAAAGCTGGTGGTCCACTGGTGTTTTGCTCAGCGTTTTCTGGGCGGCCCACCAGTGTTTAAGCAGAGTATTAGACAAAATTCCACTAATCATTAATCATTTTCCACTCACAGTCCAATTTACTGGTTTTTCTTTTTTCCTATCTTTAGTTATACTTTGTAAATTAGTTTAGTAAATAATTTTAATCCAGCTCAGAATCAGAAACAACACTTTCAACAAAATCATTTTATATCAGGCCTAGTCATTTTTTCGCTCTCAGCTGTTTGTAATATGTGATTTATTTGTGATTTATTTTCTAAAATAAAAGGTGATGAACATTTAAAATCTGTTTGAGGAGATTACAAACTAGAGCTTGTATGCAGGACCGACTGACGGTGAACCCTAAGTGGCAAACAGTCAGCGGGGTGCTGACCTTATCAAGCCAGCGGACCGATATATGCTCACTATCTGGGATGTGAAATGGTGCAGAGAGCTGCTGCAGCTGCTGAAGTTGCTGCAGTGGTTCTCATCATAGACAGCGCTGAGATTCTTCTGAACATTTTGATATGATCCATATCCTAGGGTTTCAGCCATGTGATTTTTTCTGTTGTGGCCGCCTTATTTGGGACCGAATTTCAGGCTTCGTTCCTCCACACAAACGTAACTAGAGGTGAAAGATGGCTAAAATTACTCTCCTTACTTTGGAAAAGTGATTTTGTAAGTTTTTAGTGCATTTAGTTCAGAGTCCTGCAACCCCTGCACTGCATAACTGCGGTTTCCTGGTTAAAATACCTGATATTATTAGCTAATTAATCCCTTCTTGAGCTGAACGAGATTATACAGTGCAGGGGCTCCAAGCCTGGAGTGACAACACTAAATTAAAGGTCTGTGTGTCTCTCGTCATTCTTGGCTTCTGTCGCATGCTGCAGGTGAATCATTCACAAAGTACATCTAATTAAATGCATCGCGCAGCTCAGTCACTCCCTTCGGTCCTCAAAATGGCAGCTACTATACAGTGTGAAGTCACGTGAAACAAGAGAATCATGTCAAATCATGTTGAAAGGAGAATTTAGGAAGATATGCCAAAATTGAGAAAATGCTCTCAGACCTCAGAGGGTTAAATGAACAGTTTCCAGTACATGGACACAGGCATAGCCAAGGGTGGCCACTCCCATCAAGCTTGGCCACCGTTCAGGCCAGCCCAGTTATCACCAATGAAGGAGTCACCATAGAAGTTCTGCTGTTTCATGTGAACGTTTCTATGATGAAAATCTGCTATCAGGGCAGTTACTGATCAGTTATGGCCTGACGGCGCACTCAGTAATCAGTGTATATCACAGGCGAGTAAACACGGCTCAAACCTTTGATAGTATTCTTGTTCTTGTTGCTTAAGAAAGCAGCTGAAACTGGCCTTCTTTTTTAGGAAAGTATTTAAAAGCACCTTAAAAATCTCTACATCTGTGTATTACAGGATTGTTGCTGTGCTCTGTGTGGATTACTGGAACATTACCGTTCACAGTGTTTACTGTTCACAGTGTTCAGCACAGAGTAGAAATAATATGGGAAAAAAATGTACAATATTTTTTATGTAATATTACAGAAAATATTTAATAATGCTACTTTTTTGTTAATGATGATACACCCTTAAAAATGATGGTTTTTCAGGGGTTCTGGTTGTATATAGAACCATGAACACTCAAAGAACGTTTTTTGCATGATTAAAGGGTTTTTTGCATCATGAAATGGTTCATCAGATTGATGGAGAATGTGCTGTAACCTTTTTGAAAAGGGTTCTATATAGCACCCAAAAGCGTTCTTCAATTTTACGGTTTGAAGCTTATAACAATAGAAGAACCATTTTGGGTGCTATCTAGAACCCTTTTCAAAAAGCACATTCATGCACATTTGTAGCACATTCATGCACGTTTTCTATCAATCTGAAGAACGTTAGTCATACAAAGGGTTCTTTGAGTGTTCATGGTTCTATGTACAACCAGAACCTTTGAAGAACCATCGTTTTAAGGGTGTAGAATGATGACCACACTAATAATCAGCCCAGTTCACTTCAGCAGTGCTGCTGTGTGAGCTACATTATGTGAAGAAGGCTATACGATGGTAAGATGAGTCATAAATTAGTGTATAATAATATTCACTATAATATAGTAACTTTTATCATTTATCATGTGAGCAGAATGCTTTTTACAGCTCAGTACATGTTTAATGATGCAGGCTAGATTTCATCAGAGGTGAATATCCAGTGCTGAGTGTAAGTTCCTGCTAATGCTACAGCAGATTAGCTTGTTAGCCTGTCAAACATTACTCTTTCATAATGTTACACAACACGTTTTTGCTCTAGCACCTTTTTTTGGCCGGCTAACCTGAAAGTGGAGCCGCCCTGCTTCTGGAAAAATGACTCATTTCTACATTAGGATGCTTTGTGTGGGTCAGTAAATCAAATAAGGCCTTATAGGAAGGAAGATGGACAAAATGAGAGATTTAAGCCTGGAATTAAACATGAAAGCACTGTAACTGCTGTTAGAAATGTTCATGTGATTATGCTGACTGTCCATCTCTTTCTGTTGACCGCTTTTGTACCACGGTGAAAAAGTATTTGTCTCTTTTTCTGAGGCCATCGTTGCTATTGTTGAGCTTCAATGTCAGCAACTCATTCTGCTGTGAATGAGTGACTCAACGATCAGGTACATAAAGTCAAAGTGGGATATTTCTGCGGTAAATATTAAAGTTTCCAGGTCAAACTTCCATCTTGTTGGATTTCTGTCGTTTCTTCGGCGGATGTATTTGTCTCTATGTGTTCCATTCTGGAAAACTCTACCTGCTGTGAGAGCTGTTTCTGTGGAGCTTGGGCCAATGGCTGAGGCGCCATCTGGTGGCGCGATGCTCTACTGTGTGCCAGTACAACATGTAATAAAAGGCACTGGCCACTTTATCGGAAACCCCCTCTTGTAGCTTCTACCTTGCTGGTGTACAGTTAGAGACTGTAGCCCATCTGTTGATGCACAGTTTTTGTTAGCCCCCCTCTGGTCCTTCATCAAGACCATTGACATTCTGAATAGATCTGAATAGACCAGTGATGAATGAGGTAGAGAGGGGCACAACAGATGGACTACAGCCTCTAACTGTACACCTCTGTAGTGGAGCTGTGAGGTATGCAGAGCTCATAAAGTGGCCAGTGAGCATAAGGTGGGTGTTTCTAATAAAAGGCCAGTTAGTGGAAGTAAGTCTAATAAAGTAGCCAGTGGGTGGAGGTACAACATGAATGTTTCCAATAAAGTGGCCAGTGAGTGGAAGCACAAGGTAAGTGTTTCCAATAAAGTGGCCAATTAGTGGAAGTACAAGGTAAGTGTTTCTAATAAAGTGGCCAGAGGGTGGAAGTACAAGGTAGGTGTTTCCAATAAAGTGACCATTGAGTG